CCGTTTTAGGGAGATCTTTTTCGAAACCCTCACGCAATGTTGCAACGCGTGCCTCAGAGAGCTGTTCATCTTATCAAAGCAGTATTTCATTCACGAAAACAGCAGACAATGCGTCTCCCTTGCCACTCCTGATGGTCTTCCACTCGTCTCTTCATTCCCTCCTCGAACGTGTCTTCACCGGCCTTATCATATCGTCATTGCTCACAAGCACTCCATATCGCTACGGCATACTGGAGTATGTTTCATTTTGAACTTCGTCTGAGTACAAGACGGTCGCTCAAATGAGAATTCTGAGGATGACCTCGCTTTTGTTCCTGTTGGCAGTCTTGGCAGTCGTCTGGTCATCAGCTGTGGGTAATTCCAGGTCTTTGGAGAGCAATCAAATAGCAGTGATTACCTCTTCTATCTAATGAAACGCTTCATACTATTTCTAGGAGCTCGAAAAGGAGAGGGAAAGATGCATAGATGAATGTGTTGAAAAAGAAACGGAGGACTGCTTCAAGAACTGCGATGCAGTGTACTACCTCAAAAAAATGAGCGAAGCATTGCATAAAATTGGATAGCTTCGCTATGCTTTTGTGTTGTTTGGCGACAATAAATTTGTCGCTCAGTTCGTTACAACTCAAAACCCAGCGCTCTTCGAACATTCATTTCAGTTGCACTGAAAAGCCCACGTAAAACACATGAATTGATTGCACTGAACCTTCGCAAAAGACCTATTCCGAGCAGCTGGCAGTGCGATCACCTTTATTGCATATATTCTACAGCACTGATACTTTACAGTGTGTAGAACACGAGTAGCAACAAGAACGACAACCATCATCGCTATTCATCCCATCGAAGACACCTCCAAGGACAGTCGCCATGTGCAAGGCGAATAGGCAAAAATGCAGGGGAACAGGGCTGTACAGTCGTCATCAGGGGAGTTGATTAGGCCGTCGCCGAAGTGGTGCAGATGCGGCTGCAGGAACGACCGCGTACATAGGAAATGTTGGCTGGAAGCCCGGCAAGAAGCGACTGCGTTAGCATAGGCAGGTACTGAGGAGGTTCGGGGACCACATCATAAGGAAAACGTTGGACCTTTTGTGGGGGGACCTTAAAGGCACAGTTCGCGACCGCAAATTGCGGGAAACGGAACTCAAATAGGCACAAAAAAGTGCTAAGTATCTGATTAGCGGAGAAAAGCAGCAGAAAAAGCAGTCCGAAATGTTATAGAGAAAGATAACATAGTGGCTACTAGCTAGTAGCTAGCAGCCGGTGAGGGTCGGCATGGGCCTAAGGGGTGTCCATGGGCCTAATTAGTCAGCTTCTAGCGGAGTTCTTGCCCGGTTTTCACATTTTGAAAGTAGCGCAGCCTCAAAAATCGCCTTCCGGATCGTCCGACACATTCGAGAGGTCATAGCCTTATTTTATCGCGGAATGTGCCTTTAAAGTACAGGGCAAGCGAGAACGAGGAGCCCCAAGGAAAAGATGGAGGGACGTCATTAACAAAACCTTACTGAAATCAATGCCTCAGGAGAAGCTGCAGTGGTGCGGAGAGTGGCGACGTTTAACAAGACAGAGGGCGCTGTTCAACGACAGGGGGGGGGCCTTTTGCACTTTTGCTGCTTCACTAGTTCCGGTTTACGAGTCTCACTCTGGTGAAACTTAGGTGCTCTTGTGAAACTGGTGCAAGCTTTTCGAGCCACTATGCTAAAACTTGTCAGCTCTTGTAAGCTCATGAAAAAACTCCCCCAGATGGCTGGACACATCGCTGGGAAAAGGCGGGAGTACGAAATGCCCTCCCCCCCGTCGCCGAATTGCGCTAAACAGCAGACTCCTTGAGGCTAGGTACTAACGTCAGGGACAAGTGTAGTGTAGTGTTTTTGTTCTTGTACGCCTCTCCAAAGGCCCAATTTGCAAAAAATGTGGCAGATTATTCCCGCCAACCTAATACATTGAAGGAATAAGCTAACTGTACACTGAACCTGCACTACCTAATAATTACAAGTATACTTCCAACTACCTACACTTACTACGACGACCGCTACAAATCGAGCTCGCTTGAGCCCTAATTCCCTTTATCAGATTTTAGCGATTCGCAACAAGTCCTGCCACCCACCCATCAGTGATGTTGCTGTCCCATAGCTTACATCCCACTCTAGAAGATGGTCCGAAGGACCTCCTCTCTCCTGATCGAGCCAGGGCTCATCATTAGTGGGGATTTTGGTTGAGTCCGTGCGCCCCCCCCCCCCTTAAATGTCCCTGAAACAAGAAAAATCGACTATCAAAAGGAATTTCCCTCAGCCCAAATACGACCCCTTTCTCCCAACGACCAAATACGACCCCCTGTCGAGGAGTCTTCAACAACGATGTGCCCTGCATCGATGGGGATTTCGGTCGAATCCGTACGACCCCCCCCCTGTCACCTTTTCAGGAGGTAGGTGCAACCCTCCCCCTGTTCCCTCCTCATCGAGCTGTCGAGCGAGAGGGGGATACTACCCAACCCCCTCTAACACTTCTTTTTTGGGTTTCCCCGACTTCCTCGAAGTTCCTACCATTGTTGTGTTGCCGGAATTTTCCGAAAATTTTTATACTTTTTCTCAGAAATTTTGCTGTCGAGCGGGGGATACAAAGCACATGTGCAACGGGAAAAGAGCGGGGGAAATGCGACCTCCCCCTCCTCCATCCTAGCTACCACCCTGTTGGATTTTCCTAACTTCCTAGCAGTTTTCCCGTATTCTCCCGAAATTTTCCTTTTTTTGCCAAAACTGTGATGGGGTATAATATTAGGTCATCCCATTCAAACGTGCCGCTACATATAGAGGAATGGCAGAAAAGCAAAGGGGATAGAGCAGCGGGCTACTATATCCCATAATGTTCATCCTGCACAAGAAAAAAGGGTGGATGAAGTCAAGCGCTGAATGTCTGATCCCAGACCCTTTATCGAGCTTCCCCGAGTCTGACATCCCAGCTGCAACTGCTGCCCGAGTTATGTCCGATAAACTGAGGATGGTCAAGAGGGTGGCGCATGGGTACCTAATTTTCTTATAGAAGCACGAACGCAGTACCGATTCTATACCTCTAGCAGTAATGTTCTCAGCATGAGATGTCACTCACAACTGTGAAAACGCACCCAGGCCTTAGATGAAATATGGGTGGTCTCGGACCTCGAGCCGAAACTCACAATCGTCAATTTTGTATGAATGCAGATGAGAAGCCGCCCGAGTTCTACCATGAAGAGTTACGTGGGCGCAAGTGGATGATCATCATAGCAAAGGATTCCCACACTGTGGCTTTCAAGCTCTATACAGAGGACAAATCCGTCACTGTCGGTGCATATTGCCTGTTCCTCGGCATTCAGATCGACAAATGGATGCTACCACACAACTACAAGAAGGCCACCGTTGCTCGTCATAGTACCAGACCCCGAGTAACTGTATTGTAGATCAGTGCTGGGACACAAACAATACTGAGACCTGGGTTCAATCGCCCCATTCGCCCGTCATAAAGCCATGCGATTACAACTGTTCTATTCAGTTGAGAGTACTCTCCGACGGCAGACGCTACAATGTTTTGTCATTTGCCGAAATTGGCAACAACAGCAATTTACCCACACTTGTTGAAAAATCGAAGGTACCAGAGGTCCAAAGGCCCTCGGGGCACTGGGAGCGGGTCATTGGTGAAGGAGGGATTTACTCATCCTAAAGCTAAAATATCACTTTTCTATCTATTCTCCTCTTTGTTTTATTCAAATAAAACCGGCGGCACGTTTGAATGGGATGACCTAATACATATGAAACGAAAGAAGAAAAACCACGAAAAGTCAACAACCTCTCTCAGAAGATCAGGAGACGGACCTCCCCTCCCATCAATGAGCAAATACGATCCCTCCCCTCCATACCGTCCCTCCAACAAGAAAAATCAACAATCAAAAAAATTTTTCTCAGACCAGATACGACCCCACCCCTCGCGCGCTGGAGAATCCCCGACAATGACGTGCCCCACACTCTCGATCAGCTCAAATGGTTCCATGCCGTATTTAGAGGAAAGTGGCTCGTTGCAATGTTGTTGTTTCATTTACAACTGGTAAGTTTTTGCTCCTGTTTCGGATGGATCTACGTAAGAAATTAGCGGAACATTTGTTCCTCCAGAGGCAAAGTACAGATTTATCACAGTTTCGTCATGACACTAGAACAAAGCGCCATATAGCTCGTAATTTAGTACAACGTATACAAGTTAGTACCGACAAAAACCCTAAAAACTTTTGTAGGGATTCATAATTCCTTTTGGATCGAAAACTCCTTTGATCCGTCGTATTAGGTTCCTCTCCGCTGCTGACTTTCCCAAAAAAGCATACGGTAATTTCAACTGTCCGATGCCATGTTCCGCCGAAATCGAACCGCCATGTGCATTCACCCACTCGTACAGGAATGGATAGATGCTGTAAAGACCTTAATCAAGGAAGGAATCCATTCGCAGAGATTTATTGGGGACTACGTCTCTGACCCCCGTCCCCGCCTCCAGTCGATGTTGTTCAGATTGCTCAAATGGAGTTGCTTAGGGGTGGCCTCCTAATCAAAGGAACATTCTGTGTTAATCGGGTGGGCGGAGACCCACAGTTACAGTGCCTTCTCCATAAGTGTAACCCTGTCTCCAATGGGAATGAAAAGAAGGACGCAGGCTGAACATCTTATGTCTCCGCCCATATGGTTACCGTGATGTCTCTTTAAAACCCTTATAGAGTGATTTTCGCCGCGGACGCTGAGGCGTACAAAGGATGCTGGATTTGGCGCGGCAACAGCTCGTTTTCCACCAATTGTTGCCGCTTGCCTTGGTGAGAAACGGACTGGCGCCTCCCTAAATCCAGCCCCTGGCACGCCCCACGTCTGCAGCGAAAATGACAAGCTTCTTCAAATGCCCTGCTCCTTTTCTCATTTTTGGCTCGTTTTTGCGATGTCAGGCCGTCCCTCCTACTGTTACTGCAATACATTTCCGGTGCCTTTTTACCAAACCGAAAGTCACCTGTCGTATAGCTCTTGATTAGGCTCCTTTGCGGTGATGTTAAGATGACTGTTACCATCTCCAAGATGACCGTATGTTACGATGTGTTTCGCAAGTGACGAACACCGAGCTCTGATCTCCTGGAAGGTCACTTCAACGTTCCCAATCCATAGTGAAACGAATAGTATTTCTCTACTAGTACTCACCTCCGTCAAACGATAGAAATTCTTCAGTGGAAGAGTTACATCATTTTTGTAGACGAAGCCATCAGCTGCCACTGCCAGTGGTGCGCTTTCTCTTAGGCGCCACATTGCCGATGATTCCTCCATTGACTGGGCCTGAAAAAAAGGATAAAGGAGGTTTTATGATTGCCATTGAGACTTGGCCAGATTCATCCATAACAAGGACGTGAGGAAAGTCTGATCAAGACTTTATGTGAATTTCTCACCAATTGACATCTTCGTGAACCCTTCGTCAAAAGGTGGGACCGCAGGGCTGGAGGAGCGCTGTAAGTGACCGAATGTAAGTGCTTGGACCCTTCCCGTCAATATGCTATTTACCACGATGCTGGTGTCGTACATGGGCTTGCCTTGCTGGCGCTCGAGCTCGAGGCTATATCATACTCGCGGGATAGGGTTACGTCGAAACTCTACGGACTCCAGGACCATAAAAGAGCCGAAGCTACTCTCCGTGGGAAGCCCTTAAGCGGCAGACACACTATAGTAGAGTTAGTTATCTCCTAGGACAGAAACAAGTGAGAGTACTCCTTTCCACTTTAGTTCCCTGCCAGCTGATAGTAAGCCTACCCGTTCAGGTAGCGCAGCACACAACCTAACACGAGAAAATTTCGAGACTTTAGGCTGGAAAGTGAGCAAAGATTTGGTGCTCGCTGTCGATCGTGAGGTCGCAAACCCGATTTTTGGAGCTTGCCTTGTAATATCTCTTCCTGAACGTCGTCGGTAGTCATGCAGTTTACACTTTACCGTTTTTTTTTTTTGTTTTTTTTGGTCAAAGTCTACGCGGAACTAAAGTAACCTGGCTTAGCTACCAGATCCGCCCACCTGTACACCATCGGAAGCCAGTCCGCTGCTGATACAGTGACTAAGAAATTTTTCCATTTTCTCAGAGTCGTGTGCTGCACTGGAGCCTAGAGAAAAATGAGTGTATGCGTTGAAGGAGCAGCTGAACTTTCGCATAACTGTGATCAAGGCGTTTACCTGAGGTCTCTACAAGTATTGTAAATCGTGGATTCGATTGTAGGACAGGCTTTAAGCCAAGCCTTTCATCGAGAAGGGTCATCGTTTCACAATCGAGAAATTCAAAGGACGAGAGAATTTCTGACAGATGACGTTTGGCTAGACGAAGCACACTGCAGCAGCCGTCGAATGTATCCACTCCTGTAACGAAATCGGCGAAAATTGAGTCATTAATTGGAAGTCTAAAAGACTCACCCAACATCGCACTTTGTACTGACACTGGCTTCGGCACAGTACTCATTACAACTCGGGTTATAACACCCAATTGTCCCTC